TGTTCATGTACTTTCACTTTCTCCCACTCAACCAGAGAATCTTCATTTGACATTACAACACCCCCTTCCTTTAGAAAAGTTGGTCTTACAAGGTCAGTTCCTAGATTTTTGTGATGAAGTATTGGAGAATGAGTGGAAAGGGACTGGACATGAAAAGCTAGAGGAGATTTAAGTTGATATACACAATAAAGTGCTGGGAAGGAGAAGAAGAGGGAGAGATTATGAAATTACTGGGCTGAGGATGGAGTGTTTCGTTGGGAGGCCTTTTGGTAAAGGAGATACTTTGGAGAGTATGGAGTGTGAAAAAAATCAAAGGGAAGCAGGAAAAGGATATGGGGGTAAAGGAAAAAAAATAGGAAGGGTTGCTGTGGCTATGAATTGATCTCCTTTAATGTATTTTTGAAAGACTGGAGCAGAAAATGGTATTCCTTTTAATCTTGCAGGGAACAAGGAGTGGTCCAATTATGTGTTGAATCGTGCCTGTTTAATTCGTCTGAGGGAAAAGTCAGTTTGAGAATGTTGATTTTGAGGTTCCTGCAGAACCTGGGGTAGGGGAGTTCAAAAGAAAGTGGGAAATACAGGTTTAGAACTCTTGAGAGAAGAGTTGTGATTAGAGATCAAGATTGGAGAGCTGCAGTCAAGTAGATGTGTTTATGGGGAAGAGAGGCCAGTAAGGAACTTGCATAACACATAAAATAGAAGGGCTCAGAAACGAGAGGTACCAAGAAAAGGGACAAAAATAGTAATTCTGTGGTAGGATAAGAATTCGGAGAAACTGGTCTCTGGGAAGCAAAGGGAAGAGACAGTTTTAATAGAGGATGACAAAATGTCAAATGCTGCAGAGGCTGAGACAGTGGTGCGTTGGAGCCAGCTCAAACCGGCTTGTGAAAGTCAGTTGTGAAACGTCCAGGGTTTTTGTGAGCTGATTGTTATCCACAGCCATTATTAAAAATTAAATTGTATATACTGCCGTTAAACAAGTTATGTTAAAAACAAAGGTAATAAACACACCGACTGCATCACTTCCTAATTATTTTACACTGTTGAGGCGTTCGTGTTGATTGTATCTGTAGGGTGGAAATGCTGTCTGTCCACTGTTGTGTGCTGTGGCACCAGCGCTTCCCCACCCTGCTTTTTGTGACAGCACATCTATAACCTGAAATCAATCACAGTGGGAGTATATGCACCACAGAAATTGGCAAACACTACAAATCAGAGGTTGTTTCCCTGCAAGGAGAGCTGTTGTTAAACATCTACCAGCACACCATTGGATACATAGAATGAAAATCAAGAAAAGTCTAATCGCTTTAGCAAGAAGGAGACAACTTGTCACTTTTGCTTGAGTTTCAGTAGAAGGATAGGTGACAAAAACCACAGTGAAATGGGTTGAGGAGTGAAATAATGGCAAGTGAAGAAATAAATGTTCAAATAAGAACATTGAGAACTAGTGAGTTAAACGCTTAAGATTATTATTGTTGATACTGTTTTTTAATTTAGGGCTTACAGACCACATACAATGTTAATGTACTTTATTAATCTCCAAAAATGAACAATATATGCAAATGTATTTTATGGTGGAAGCTTTTCTGTTGAAAAATCTTAAGGAACTAGTTATCTATAGAACACATTTGGGGAAATGCTGCTGCAGTATTTCACAATTAAGATGATATTGGTTGTAAGTTTGAGATAAATATTTTTGTTATTAAAGTTTCTTGGTTTTTAAAAGAAATATTGTCAAGAATGGATGTTGAATTTGTTTGAGTATTTTGTGCATTTTTGAGATTATCATATGGTTTCTTTCAAAATTTGAGCTAGTGCTGTGACATCATTTTAATAGGTTTCCTAATATTAAATCGTCTTTGCCTTAATGAGATAAATCCAACTTGGTTATGATGGTTTATGCTTTTAATATACTATTGATTTTTTTATTAGCATTTTATTTATAATTTTAAATTAATATTAATAAATGGGATTAGTATTTTTCTCTTTGTTCTTGTTTTCAATATCAATATTATGCTACTTTTGAAAAATTAATTTGGTCACTATATTTTTTTCTACTCAGAAACAGTTTGCATAGCAAGAAAATTATCTCTTCTTTAAAAATTTATCTATAAAATGATCTAGACCCAGAGCTTTTGGGGAAGTAATTCTTTGATAAGTTTTCAGTGGTTTCCATTGTTATTTTTTCATTTCTTACGTCAACTTCTACCATTTATATCATTTCAGACAAATTAGTCTGAGTAAATTGCCCTCTGGCTGCATTATCTGGTTAGATTCTGGTAAAAATCCTATTTCAGATATAAAAAAATTGGATGAGTAGTTATGAACAGCACCTCTCTAATGTAGGTTCTGTTGAAATGTGAGGGCCTTGTCTACTGTCTTCACAGCCTAGTTCTCTGACTTAAAAAGATGAGTAGAAGGGTTTATAATGACTGTAAACCAATTCAAATTTATGGAGAACATAAAAAACTATAATCCTTGATATTTATTGGCTCCAGAATGGATCTTGTTTCTACCCTATCATAAAATAAATACTATGCTTTGTAGTGTATTTTATAGTATTTTAGTGTATTTATTTATAGCATAAATTGTATAATTAACATTAATAAGTATATAATTAATAAATACAAATTATACTTAACAAATATGATAATTATATTTTATTAATATAATAAAATTTAGAGTATATTAATAAAATAAAATATATCCAGAATAAAATATATATAAATAAATATAATAAAAATATAAATATACCAGGGGTGCCAAAAAGGTGTATACAAGTGGACGCTTTGGTGAACGTTGTTCAAGCAGTAGTTCGCCGCAGAAGTGTCTGGACGCTGATGGTAATCACTTGGAACACCTTTTGCAAATGCAGAAGTCAAATGTGACTTGTATTCATTCATCTTTTGTTATCGGCATATATTGAGTATTACAATTTTAATACAGTTTTCCTGTCTTCAAATGTGTATACATATTTTTGGCACCCTCTGTATATTATATATAAAATATATTTTAAAAATTTATGTCTGGAAACTATACCGTCTATGGTACAAGGCAATACTGAGTGGATACAGAAAGGAGATTATGGATCTTAGTCGTGGGAAAGGTGATAGAATTCTGTCTGCCTCTGAAAGTCTTAGGAGCGGGCCCAGTTTTCTGTTTGATCGAATTCTTAGGGCTACAAGCTAGGAATAGATAGCAGTTTCCAGAAATCTTTATTCCTTCTTTACTTTCATTCCTTCTTAATGAATTCACATGTATTTCAAAGGGACATTGGGATGAGTGTCAGAGAAAACTAGTATGACAATCTTAACCTAATCAGCGTTCTTTAATTTTTCAGATAGAGATTTTGTTCAATTTTTTTTAACATTCTTTCCTGTTGGTTTCACATATGTAAGCCCTTTTTAGTTGACTTAAATGTAAAAAAGGTCAAAATGGTAATCTATTATAGATAAAGTTGTTTTTCATCTGTTATGCCTGTTAAATATAATGAACAGTTTTGGTGTGGAAACTGCTTTCATTTTGACAACAAATTAGAGAGTGTTAATATAAATTGCTATGATACATGTCAGCAGTTAGTCAGGAAACAAAACATACAGGTTTACAACACTGACAAATTAACTCTTTCTGTAGAAGAATATGTCTCATTTTGAAAAAAAAATGTTACTTTATTATTGATATTGAGTCTACATTAAGAGGCTTTCCATTTCCAAACAAAAGTACTAAACAATGCTAGAGGAACAAATAATTAAAACAAAGTACATTGGCTATAGTTTATATTCTTTCATATTAGAAATAACAAAATGGGAAAACATTTTATATTCCTGATCCACTACTTTTATGTCATGCATGGATAACAGAATAGTTTTTGAAAATTCCAAATTGAAAGGTGCATGTTGAAAAAGGAAAAAATTTAGAATTTTTTATAGGTTAGGCTGTACAGAACACTGAGTCTGGATATTGGGACTGTTAAGGCCCTAATGGTAAAACTTTTGGCAGTAGATGGCTGTTTTGTCTTTAGGGAATATACAGCTATTCTAGGATCCCTGGCCTCTTCATAAGAGCCAAGTATATGTATCCTAAGACCTTTGGCACATTTACTTAGATAATATGCTCTCTGGGTCTTCCTTTTAAAAATCTGCTTCACATGGAATGTGCTGCATCTACTGTCCCTAAGTATAATAGTTGTGACACATCATTGAACTTTACCTCAGGCGTAACAGCCGCGTGCCATCTAGAATGAGGTTATATTTTGATATCATCTTTACTGTGTATGTCTTTTATCAAACATCTATTGTTTTCAATTTATTGGGGTGACATTCGTTAGTAAAATCATATAGGTTTCAAGTGTACAATTCTATAATACATCATCTATATATCACATTGTGTGTTCACCACCCGAAGTCAATCACCATATATTTGACCCCCTTTACCCTCTTCTACCTCCCCCTTTTCCCCTTACTTTCTGGTAACCATTAAACTGTTGTCTTTGTCTATGAGTTTTTGTTTGTTTATTTGTTTGTCTCATTTATTTGTTGCTTTCAGTTTTATAGCCCACATATGAGTGAAATCATATGGCTCTCAACCTTTTCTGCTAAGCAAAATAAGTCAAACGTCTATCTTCTGAGGTTATTAATCCTTATAAGTGTTTCTTAAGTCTGTACAATAATGTAGGTGTGATTATTAATTGGACGTAAAAGATGGATGAGATAAAGGACCTCAACTCATGATTAGTGACACAACTAGGAAACTAGGTGAAATGAATCGGATCCATTTCTGTAGGAACATTGTACAGTCCTGCACGATTTCCGAGTCAGTTGGTAGCCTGTTGGTTACTTCTAGAGAATACAAAAATAAGCTCAGAGAAAGCAAACACTCAGAATGAAATCCAACAGAAAACAATAAACTTATCTGTGCTCGTACACTTTGGCAGCCTAGGTTGTCTAGGGACTTTGATTATGTGTGTATATTAAAAACCTTCTTTCTTTTTAATTGTTCAGGTTTGAAAGAAGCCTATTCTAAACCACAGATATACAAGGTCATTTTCTCAATCAAGAGCCACCCTTTAACGGTAGGTAAAACTCAGAATTTATCATACTAAATTTGTATTTAAAGGCATCTTTTTTAAAAGAACATTCAAATTCTTCATGGTATTTTATTGTAACATTTCTTAGAGAGCTTTTATTTTGACTATCAGAATACTTTGTACTGTATAATTTACCAGTCAGTTAAGGGAGAACATAGTAATGGATTTGTCTAAGACAAAACAAAGATAGGAAAGTGACCTAGACGTTGAAAAATAATTCAGAAATAAGTCTCAAGTACAAGTATATTATTTTAGGTTCTGATGATACTTATAATTAAATTGAGATAAAAATTAAAATATCTTCCTAGTTCCCTGTAGACCATGCAACCATATTCCTGGTCACAAAGGAGAAAGTAGCTTCAATATCCAGGACTCCTGTATATATATTTTATTGGGGGGGTGGCGATTATAATCCAATAATATACTTACTTGTTTTGTTGCTCAAATTGTTCCATCTCTCAGTGGCCAAAGCTGAAATAATTTGAATAATAAATCATTGTAGCATAGCCCCCCAAATAAAAAATATGTACATGATCCCATACTGATATAAATAAATGCTGAATAAATAAACAAATGGAGAAAGAACTTTTCCTTACAGAAGAATTTAAATTAGTAAATGTAAAAGGGAGGAAGGAAATAGAAACTTGCCGTTAAAGAACCACCGTAATAATTGCTGCAGGCAAGATGAATAGTAAAATTGGTTAAAGTGTAAGGAGAAGCAGAATATGTACATAACCTCAAAGTATCCCCCCCAAATATTTATTAATTACAAAGGCAAAAGTGGTAATTTTACAGTGGAGAAGCCTAGCAGACACCACCTTAACCAAGTGATCAAGGTTGATATCAGCAGTAAAAAGACATATTGAGCTCATATACCCTCTGATAAAATGCCCTGAAAAGGGCATATCATCCCTTTGGTATTCTTCTAAAAAATCCATAATCTCAATTGAATCATCAGAAAACCTTAGACAAACCTAAAGAGAGAGACATTCTGCAGAATACCTGACCAGCAGTTTTCAACAGTGTCAGGCATAAAAGACATGGAAAGACCAAGGAACTATACATTAAATATGTGCAGTGGTTTTTTTATAGCATTTATACCTCAATAAAGCTGTTTAAAATGAACAAACAAACAAAAACAAAAACACTGAGGGACTCCCAGAGGATTGGAGAAGAATGAGACATGGCAGCTAAATGCAATGTGGGACCATGGATTGGATCCTGGAACGGAGAAAGGACATTAGTGGGAAAACTGGTGAAATCCAAGAAAAGTAGTTTACAGTATTGCGCCAATGGCAATTTATTAGTTTTGATCACTGTACTATGGTTGTGAAATGTCGTGTAACAGTAGGGGAAGCTAGGTGAAGGGTACCTGGGAGCTCTCTCTACTATCTTTGCAGCTTTTCTGTAAACCTCAAATTATGTCAAAATAAAAAGCTCTTTAAAAGTAATATTGGAGTCACTAAATAATCACTCTTATTAGATTGTCACTGATTTACGGAGTGAGTTTCTGTTTGCAAATCTTGGAACAGAGAGAAGCAGGGGCATTGTTTTCATCAGAAATGCTCTTTGAACTGTGCTTTGTAATCCTGTCCACACACACTGCCATCCTTACCTCCACAAGCTTGGTCTCCACTTAATACTTCCGCCAGTTACTTCCGGCCCTGGAAGACTTGTGAGTGGGAAAATTCCACAAGGCTCCGTCTCCTCTTAGCAAAGTTTTCAGTTGGTGACAATCAGCATGTGATTTGAATATTCAAACCAAAACTGGGAACGTATTTAGATCTAATTAATAATCTCTTGGTATTCCTCACCTAAGACATCATTTGAACAAGAATTTAGCATTAGTAGTCTTGTTTTTGAATGGTGAAGATCACATTGTTTTTAGATAAAATTTCTGGGCATTCAGTGATACAAGTAGCACTAAGGGAACTTTGATTCTTAAAGGAACTCAATAGCAGCATTATGTTTGCTTTGAAAACCAGTTTAAGTTCAGTGAAATCCAAAGCCACTTAAAATAAAAAGACCAAGCTCTGAATTCAAGTGTTTGAAAATGAAATGCTAAGTATTGGGAATTCTTCCCTAAAGTTTTTTGTTTTGCCGGCAACTCTCTTGTGTGTTCAACAATTTAGTAGATTACACTACTTCACAGACTTTAGGTGAAGCAAGAAATAACAGAAGTTGCACCTAGAGTAGTCAAATTCATAGAGACAGAATTTAGAATGGGGGGTGGGGGAAATGAGGTGTTAGTGTTTAATGAGTATAGTTTCAGTTTGGGAAGATGAAAAAATTCTGGAGATGGATGGTGGTGATGGTCATACAATGTGAAAATACTTAATGCCACAGAATTGTATATTTAAAAGTGGTTAAAAGGGTAAATTTTTATGTTATGTATATTTTACCGCATTTTTTAAAGTAAAAAAGAAATAACAGAAGTCTTCAGCAGTTACATTTCACTTCTAGGGTGCCCAGCTATAAGGAGAATCTCTGCCTGTGGGTCTTTATCCTTAGGAATCTTTTTTTTTTAAATCTAAAGATTCCCCAGACATCATTTACCAACTGGCACTTTAAATGGCCTCCATATCATAAATTGTGCTAGTAAAAAGAAACCTGGTACACAGGAAACAGTAGAGCTGGCGTGGTTGGGAGAGTTGTTTGTGGGGTTAATTTATAACCAAGACAAATGAATCTATAAAAAGAAGAAAAGCCCCATAAGAAATATGTTAACTGATGGTAAGGGAGGAAAGAAAGGTTTAGATAAAAGATATCTGAACTTGTTTGGTCCCAATGACTTTATGGCTGAGGAATTCAATTATAGGTGTACTGGGTGGAGCAAATCACAATTCTGTAAATTACTAATAGGACACAACGATCTTTATCATTTTCTGTATGTGCTCACATGCAAAGTTCAGTCCTGCCCTGTGTAAATAAACTCTCAGCTAGCTCTACTGCTATGTATGAACTCAGGGGCTTCAGGATTGGAACATAGATAACGTGAAAGGTGGGTAGGTGGTACATTTAGAAATGAGATTAGTAACTAGGACACATAACTTTTGCCTCTGCATTTTGGCCGTTGCGTTTGTTTCATTTTACATTAAATTCTTTTAAGACATGTTTATTACCGAAAGGCTATGAAAATGTTTTTTCAAAAAGACTACAATTAATCACATTTAAACTACTATTCTTATTTCTGCATAGTTTCTTCCAGTTCTTGTAAGCCTGTATACGTTTTCTACTTACTAACAGTTATGGTATTTGTAGCATTTTTGCTTCTTTTACTGTTAGATCATATAAATCATTCTTTGTTTCTACCTGACTTTCAGATCTCTTGTGATGGCAACTTAATAGTCCGTTTTAGTGATATCACATAATTTACGAAGCCAGTTTTTAGGTGGTCTAGTTTTTTATTGTTGTAGAATTACTGTGTATTCTTATACCATGACATATAGTGAATATCTTCATGCACATAGTTCACTTTTTAAAAATCATTTTTGTCAGCTAAATCGGTGAAAGAAGTTTCTATGTTAAAGGGTTTGAGCAACTATATTACTCTTGCATTTTTTAATGACATTTGATCTTGCTCTGAGCATAGAGTAGTAGCAAAATGAACAAAAACATATTTCCAAAGTGTGCATTTAACTGATTTCTGTTCTTTTAAATCTGTTATCTTCTAGCTTTGACTTTGTGCGCTTTATAGTGGAACGTGAGTAGAGAGTGAGAGGCTTCACCAAGTGTTTAGGTATCAGAATGATATGGGGGTTTTGATGTTTGTTTGGTTAGGAAAAAAATCCTACTTAATTGCAAGGCAGGTGCAGATTATTTCCTAAGGCTGTGCTAAATTTAAATAAAGTTTGAAGATTGTGCTGCGGGAGCCTCCTGGCCTTTAACTCCACGTGCTGCGAGTTGATAGAAAGGAATGACTGCTTTTGAGCGTGCAGGTTTAACCACTAGGAGGACGTCCCGACAGATGGATACAAACAAATTAAAAGGGAAAAAAAGGATGTAAATTAAATGTTTTAAATATTTGAGGGAATATTAATTTTTGAATAAAGATATAATGATAAGAAAAAATTTTAAGATGCAAAATTATATGGTTAAAATGTATTTCAACAATTAGGAAAAGATCATGGAGTGATTGTCTTTTCTTTCTATTCTAAGCTTTCATTGGGGGTTAAGTTACAGTTAATTAAATGAAATAGAGACTATAGCTTTTAATTACAGTACAGTGTATTATATTTTTTAATATCAAAGAAGCAATGTAGTAACAATAAAGATCACGTTAAGGAAAAAATTGTCTATAATCTTCACATCCTTATTCAAACTGTTTTAATTTCTACAAGTTGCCTTCCAGTTCTCAATACATGTACACACATTTTCATATGTCTATGTAGTGTTTGAGACACTAAATACATTGCTATCCCTGGCACTCAATGTCTATAAAATTAAAGGAGTGTGATAAATGAATTCTAAATTCTCTTTTGATTCAAAAACAATGTTTTAAAACCTAGCTGTGTCTAAACTACATAGTATTTTCTGGAAAAATGATGACTTCATCACAATGGGTACTAAAAGTCAGTCACTAGTGTAAAATGTAAAGAGTTAATTCCTAAAAATTAAGCCCGAAAGAAAAATTTCTGTGCTGCAGAGACTATGAATTAATAGTTTGTTAAAAGTGCATGGTAGGGGGAGGGGTTTGATTATTTGAGATTTTTGAGTAATAATTTAAATAAAACATTGTTCTCAAATAGTAATTTTAATCAAACCTAATATACAAGAATATCTGATAAGAGAGGATACAAACATTACTTTTGATGATTACTTAATTTCCATTAATATCCCACGCTTTCATTCTTATAACAAAAAAATTTTAAATCTTTTCATAATTTTTTAATTTTAATTTTTTTTATTAACTAACACTATATAAAGTTATTGATTTTGACACCTAGTTAAACTAGTTAGGGAAAATGTACATGTCTTTATTATCT